ATAACGTTGTGTTAGGATGGATCGCTGCCTTTTTATATAAAAGGTCTCAGTTCGTTCGTATTGGGTCGGACGCATCTACACTTCAATATATCAATGGTGGTATTCCACAAGGTACTAAGCTTGGCCCGATCCTCTTTGCCGTAATGGTGAATGAACTTTTGTCTGCGTGGGGCCCCCGTGCTAAGTTCGTTGATGATCTTACCGCTTTGGAAATTGTACCTAGAAATTCCCCTTCCTTGATGAATCACATCGTGGCAGATATACACTCGTTTGCTGAAGTGAACAATATGAAGCTGAATCCTGCCAAGTGTAAAGATATGATTGTTAACTTTCTTCATTTCAATACTAGTGTTTTGCAACCCATCATCATTGGTGCAACACGCGTGGAATCTGTTTCATCATTTGAACTGCTCGGAGTGTATGTTACCAGTGATTTAACATGGTCTGTGCATTGTGAATACATTATTAAGAAATCCAATAGGCGTTTATATGCGTTGAGGAAGCTTAAGAGGAGTGGGGTAGCCCCAACAGACATCCTATGTGTTTATTGTGCAATTATAAGATCAGTATTGGAATATGCTTCTGTCGTTTTCGCCAACCTTCCTCAAAATCTTAGCGACGATCTTGAAAGGGTCCAGAAACGAGCACTGGCCATAATATACCCTAACTATTCCTATGATGATTCCCTAAAACTAGCTGGTATCGAACCGCTTGTCTTACGGAGGGACGCCGCCTGTAAGAGATTTGTGGAGACAATCCTACCTGGAAACCCACTCTATCCAATTGTTCATAGCCGGTCAGCACCAGTGAACCATGGTTATAAACTTAGATCTGACAATGTTGCGAGGAATATCAGGACGCGAACAGACCGGTTTCAGAAATTCGTTACCATTAAGTATGCGACCTGAACTGTGATCGTTGAACCTAATAACTCTATTGTCTAGTTATACATTCATTTTTAACTGTAATAAATTATGTACAACTCTCAGATAATTTTGTATAAGTTTTATATACTGTAATTAATATTTGTAAATAAGATTTTTGTAATGACCTGTAATTCAGTTTCTACTGCAAGGGGTTTTCTAATAAACTATTACTATTACTATTACTATAATGCGAAAAGCGTTCTTCACGTCGGTTTTTGCAAGAAAACATCCAGGTCCCGCGAGTTTAATTAAACGAATAGCATCTGCAACTGTGGCATAGTGCACGCTAGTGTTTTCGGTAACTATGCCATCGTTGACAGAAGAACCGCGCGGGAAGGACAAATGGTGAATCAAACGAAATTCGCCTATTGTCTTTTTTGGGACTAGACCTAACGGAGAAACCCTAAATGGGTGAAATGGCGCGGCAGTAAAAGGCCCTGCAAGCCTGAGAGCTGACAGTTCTTTAGCAAGGTTTTTATCAACCACGGTTGGATTAGCTAAAGCCGAAGGCAGATTTTTACCTTCTTGGGTATTAACAACACCAGAAAAATGTAACGCAAAACCATGAGTAAAACCAGAAACGAGCGTAGAAATTATGTCTGCAAAATAGCCGTTTAAATATGGCTCAAGCCGATTTAGGTTGATTGGTGTTGGGAGCAGCACCTGACTTGGCAGAATTACGGGTTGGTCTGGGAAAATCTCCCCTGAGTTGGCCACGAAAATTACATTTAAGGCCAGGGTGTAGGCCGTCACACTTAAAACAGGAATGTTTAAATTCACACCCAGAACAAGTCTCTCCTTTGTGAAACTTGAAGCAGTAGCCTCGAGGAATTGAATTTTGCGGCCCCTTACCAGAAAGGGTAGACGGGGCATGTTGCATTGTACTGGGTGATTTTTGCGAAGTATGCTGCGATCGCAGCCACAATTCCCAGTGAACATTGGCCCAAGACAACAAACTACGCTGGGTTTGACGCAAAAAGCGAAAGTTTTCATCATAGAACGGCGCCAATTTTGACCCCGATCTGCCAAGTCCTGTACTATGTCCCCGTATTTCATGAGTGCGGGGGACTCATGAGGATACTTTTGAGCATAAACCCCTAAAAAATACGAAACGCACTCATCCAAACAGAAATATTTGTTATTTTCTTGGCTTTACTTATCGGCTCTACTGAAAGAGATGGTGGTAAACCGGCGTCAGAAGAGCTAAAGCTCAATTGGAATTTGTTATACATATACATATATACATATGATTGATCAACATTGATCAACATTGGATTGATCAACATTGGATTGCTCAACAAAGACCCGAAATCGATGTATTCATCGTTCCAAATTTTATTTTTAAGTTTAATGGAAATCCGACAGTCTATAGGTAAACTAATAGAGTGATATTCCTGCGTTGGTTGAACATGGCTAGAATTAGGCGCCACAAACGTCTCACCTGAAATTGTGGCGTGGGCCGAACCAAGAACGTTGGAAACGGCAAGTTGCGCCACAGCCGTCGGAGGAGTCGCAACATGCTCTGCGATGCGGACAATAGGCGATTCCGTAACTGAGGCAGCAGGTCCAGAAGGAGAACTCGATGGGACTGCGTGGACACCAGGCACTGGAGTTGCTACAGTTTGCAGGCGTCGAGTCACTTCTGCGGTTACGGAGCTGACGATCTCTTGGAGCTGTTGGGGCGTGAGCATTCAATATGGCGGATGCATATTCTTGAGCTCCGTCAAATTTGTTCTATTTGTACTAAAAACTTTGCCTTAAAAAGGTGGTTAATTGTCAAAGTTGCTTTTTAACCAAAATATAAGTCAACTGGAAGAAAATATTGTCGTGTAAAGCTCGGGTTTACGACAATAAGGCTATAATAACATCACAAAGCCTTGACAATATGGCAACCGACAACGCAAGCAGATCACAGCCGGATAAAAACTCTACTAACACAACAGATTATTGGATGAACAGTGTAAATATTACACTATCTATTCCTCCAGATTTAACTCTTGAAAAGGGGAAACTCAAATGGCTTAATAACTTTGAGGATCTAAAACTATTTGTCAAAACAACTCTACAAATAGAGGGAACTTGGTCATCGCCGGGTGGTTATCTCAAGGCATTTAGCGAAGATCCTGAAAGTGTTCTTATTAGGTATTATACCGACACGAAATCGTTGCTGTTTCAAGGCGATCGAGGTAAGAAAATCAAGAACTTTTTAATCGGAAAGATTGCGAGTATTTCGCAACCCGGCGGAGATAAACATTCTTCAAGGTCAAGCGAGCAAAATAGTACAAGTATACACGATGATAGCATCGTATTAGTTAACAGTCCAAGTCAGACGCTTAGTGAACGTCACGATGAGGATGAATATGCTCTAAATTTAAGTGAGTTTGAATCTGTGAACACCATATCGGTAGATAATTCTAGTCAGACATATGAAATAGAGTCGACTGAATATCATTCAACTCGGGTTAGTCGAGAATGCAATTGCGCATGCAGTCAATCCTCTAAAGATATTGAAATTTTGAAATCTACAATTACTAAGCTACAATCGTCAATTGACTCATTCGAGATTATATTGAAGGATCATGACTCAGTCCTTTCCATGTACAATAGGGCTGCAGATATGAATGACAAATACTTAAAAGAGATAAATGAGAGTAAACAGCATATAGTATATCTCGAACAGAAATTGCTTGAGACAAGTCAAGAAAGAGATTCTCTACAATTAGCTACTAGGCTTATTGCCCAGGACAAATACTGTCATCATCATACAAGTCAGAATGAGGTAGCTGAAACCGCTGCTAGAAAAAACGATAATGTTTGGCAGAAAGTGCATAATACTAATAACAATGGTGTGTTTCATAACAAGCAAACTAAGCAATTAACAAGAACTGACATTGGCAGATATATTTGAATTATTAATTAACGAGGATGGAAACAATAGCTGTTGTGAACCGGAACAGGAACACAATCACAAGAGCTCACAAGCAAGAAATACACAATCGACTCACGACCCCAGCGATCATTCCCAACTAGACAGTAATGATGATCAATCCGCTCAACACGTCAGGTCTCCACAACAAACATCCACCTCTAGTTCTCTTTCCAAACAAACCCCAAATAGGGGTCTGAATGGAAAGCAAGGTGGTAAACGGCATAATGGCGATCGTAAGAATCAAAAGTCTGGACACTCATCTCGCAAAGTAACTATTGTCGGAGATTCAATGTTGAAGAACCTGAAGGGTTACAGGATGTCTAAAGAAAACAAAGTCAAAATATCTACATTTCCTGGTAGTGCCACTAGAGATATGTACGACTACATTAAACCTGTTCTGAGAAAGAAACCCGACCAAGTAATTATACACGTAGGTACAAACAGTCTACGAGAATCTGAAAGCCCCACATCCTGTGCAGAGGAAATTGTTGAATTAGCTAAATCGGTGGAACAGACAGATGGAAAGGAAACGGAGGTAATTATATCAAGTTTAATATTCAGATCAGATGATAGTAGACTTGGGAAACAAATTGATGAAGTGAACTTAGCGTTAAGTAAGTTATGTCGACAACACAATTGGACACTAATAGACCACTCAAATATTACACAAAAACATTTAAATCGAAGTGGTCTGCATTTGAATAGAGACGGAACTACTCAATTAGCTCGTAATTTTTTAAATATCATAAATCATAATAATTGAAATATTGCCGGATGGGAATCCCTAATCTCTGTGCTGCCAGATGATAATAATGATAAAACTGAAGATACACCTTTAACTATCGGTCATAACGTCTATGGACGTGGCTTAGTGATGGCCTCGTTAAATATAAATAGCCTTTTAGCTCACATTGACGAACTTAGGGTGTATATGAATAATGGTAAAACAGATGTGCTTGCAATTAACGAAACTAAATTAGATTCAACGATTGAGAATAGTGAAATCCATATCCCTGGATATGAGATAATTAGGAAAGATCGAAAAATTAATGGTCGAAACGGTGGAGGTGTCTGTATTTTTGTGCGATCCAATATTAATTATATAACGCGAGATGACTTGAATTTCGAAAATTTAGAATGTCTTATAATAGAAATTACCAAACCACGGTCAAAATCGTTGATTCTTGGCACATGGTATAGACCACCAAACTCTCCAATTAGTTATCTAGATGATTTTGAAAATATTATTGGAAAGCTGGACTCAGAAAATCAAGAGATGTGTATATTAGGTGACATTAACATAGATCTTATGCATGAACCGATCTCGGCCAATGCTGTAAAACTGAATTCCATACTAGATATTTATGGTATGGATCAGCTAATAAACGAACCTACAAGAATTACTAATTGTTCTCAAACCTTGATTGATCTATGTTTCACAAATGCACCATCAAAAATAATAAATCATTCACTTGTGTTTATGACTTATAAAACTAATATAGAACGTACCGGGACGCCCACAATAAAAACTCGTTGTTTAAAGAATTTCAATAGAGATAATTTTCTTAGAGACTTGGAACAAAAGCGGTGGTGTGATGTTAACACAAATACTGATCCTAATGATATGTGGGACACGTGGAAAAGTTTATTAATGGAGTGCATTGACAAGCACGCACCATCTCGCTCCAAAAGAGCAGGCAAAAAAAAATCGCCGTGGATAACAAGCCAATTGTTACGACATATGCATAAACGAGATTATCTGAAGCGGAAAGCAACATTGGCCGATGATCAAACTTTATGGAAAGAATATAGGGTTGCTCGAAATCGTACCAATAACGAAATTAGAAAAGCAAAGCAAGAGTATTTTATAACGAATTTGGAAACTGCTAAAACAAATCCAAGAAAAACATGGAAATTAATTAACGAACTAAGCTCGCGTAATTGTAATAAGTCAAGTAACATTAACGAGATTAAAGTAGACGGAAAAACAATAAATACACCTGCAAATATAGCTGAAGCTTTTAACAATCACTTCTCAAATATTGGTGAGAATCTAGCCTCCAAAGATACCCATTTCTAACGTCAACCCTGAAGACTATTTAGAATCAACTGAGCAGAGATTTTCCATTAGACCTCCTACGGTTGATATGGTTTATATTCTGTTGAGTAAAATTAACGAACGAAAAAGCTCCAGGTCTCGACAACATTCCTAATAAGCTGTTAAAAATAGCAGCTGCAATAATCTCACCATCATTAACTGATATATTTGCCAGATCAATTAACACTGGCATATTTTCATCCGAGTGGAAAATGGCTAGAGTAACACCAATATTTAAGAAAGGAAAAAGGAATGATCCGAATAACTATCGACCAATATCAGTTATTTCAGCTGTAGCCAAAATCTTCGAAAAATTAATCTTTGAGCAACTTTATAATTACTTCAGTTCTAACAGCTTGTTAACGCATTTCCAGTCCGGTTTCAGGTCGTTACATAGTACACTTACTTCTCTTCTTGAAGCCACTAGTAACTGGTCAGTTAATATTGACAATGGCCTCTTCAATGGAGTAATATTTATCGACCTTAAAAAAGCATTCGATACTATTGATCATCAGATATTGCTGCGGAAGCTTTGAATTTACGGTATGGATCAATTAAGTCTCGAATGGTTTCAGTCTTATTTGACCGGTCGATCTCAGAAATGTAATGTTAGAGGTTGCTTGTCATCATCTGCATCAGTTACACGTGGTGTACCACAGGGAAGTAACTTAGGACCATTGCTCTTCCTTGTGTATATTAACGACCTTCCTAATTGTCTCAGTGCAGCAGTACCGAGAATGTTTGCTGATGATACGAACATTAGTTATGCGGCCAACACTATCGCCGAACTAGAAAATGTTATTAATTCGGAATTAAAAAAATTGAAAAGCTGGTTGGAAGCGAACAAATTAAGCCTTAATATCGCCAAGACAGAATTTATGATAATAGGATCTCGACAACGTATGCATGCGCACACTAACGAAAATATCAATATTGACCTGGATGGTCATGTGGTTAAACAAGTTGATGAGGCAAAATCACTAGGTGTACTTATTGATAAAAATCTGTCTTGGTCTAAACACATTGATATGAAGTGTAAAAAGATTTCTTCCGCTATAGGTGCTCTTAAGCGAATAAAACCATTTATATCAACTGAAACAGCAATCCAAATTTACAACGCTATAATTCAACCTCACTTTGATTACTGTAGTCCCATTTGGGACGAATTTGGCGCAACATTATGTGAAAAAATGCAAAAATTGCAGAATAGAGCTGCTAGAGTGATTACGAAATCCAACTACGATGTCAGCTCCAGCATTCTCTTAGAGAAACTGCATTGGGACAATCTTTCCTTACGTAGGAAAAAGCACAAGTCAATACTAATGTTTAAAACCATCAATAAGCTAACGCCAGAGTATTTACAAAACATGTTTACATTTCGCAGCACAGATTATAACTTAAGAAATGCAGAAATGAAGCTAAATTTACCAAAACCACGTACGGACTTTATGAAGCGTAGTTTCTGCTACAGTGGAGCAAGTTTATGGAATGCGCTTCCTCAAACTGCACGTACGTCCAAATTATTGAGGCATTTCAAAAATGAAATTAATCAATTCTTGACATTATAATGGGATCCCCACACGGCAATCTTGGAAAACAGTGCATTTTAGTTAGGAAATTAGTGTGTATATAGTGATGTGTGAAATTTATTAATAGTTTTTGTATTTTATTCTACACTGAAGACTTTACCGTGTTTAAATAAATGTTCAATGTTCAATGTTCAATGTTCAATGTTCAATAGCCGAGGCTGGAGCAAGAGGAGCAGCTGTTTCTGGCCGAGGAGAACTGGACGAAGGAACCGTCGTGGTTGTTCCTGAGGCACGGGGCGCTCGAGCGCGATGGGAACGGCGTGCTGGTGGTACGGCTACCGATACTGGTCGCTGAGCACGTTGATTTCGAGTGGCGGGCATGGTAAAATTCCTAAAAAACACACTCAGAAACGTAGTGGGGGAATACTAAAAGCTTATGAAGTATATAGGCTGGGTCGAGCATGGCACACAACAAAGTGGCCGCACCACTCGCCCAATAAAACGCCACTAAGAAATAATGAGGACGTAGCCTCAGATTAACACGTGTGAGGACGTAGCCATCACAAATAAACGAGAATAAAATCTCACAAGGATTCAAGTATGGAGTACTTCTCCAAATGAAAGATATTCTGTGTGGACGTAGCCAACACCAGAATCAAAGTGTGAGGGCGCAGCCTCGTGCAAGAAGAAATCTAAATAAAATTAAACAGTATCTGGTGACATAAAAGTATAAAAGACATACAACCGAAGATAACAGACTAACAACTAGGAAGGCTTGCTAAAGCCTTAAGAATAGCACCGCGATAACTGCGATACAGTGTGTATTGCGCTCTACGATTGAAATGAACACCGTCTGGTAGAAACGGAGATTTTACGCGCTGTAAGAATCCCTTATGACTCCAGCAAAAAACGTTGGGAACACCGTCCAGAACGACCTCTAAATATTGGTTCAAAATAAGCGCCTGTCTGTTGAACTTCGGAGAAGCTGCCCGATGTGTAATGAGGCAAACCCCTACTATCTCAACATAAGGGAGCTGAAGTAAAAGATGAACGAGGTCATCGATTTGGAACCCACTACTTCGGGTTTGCTATGGCTAAGGTCGTTAGTACCCACTTCCAAAATTACAATGGCAGGCCGAAATGAACGAAATTTATCTAAATCGAACGCGATCAACTTGTCTACTGTGCGTCCCCCAATTCCATGCAATTTGACGGAGGCCCTTTGTATATTAAAACTAACGGCCGCACGGACGTCGAAATTAGAGCGCAAATCGCGATGGAGACGTTTGACAAACGAGTGTCCAAAAACAAGAACTTTGGGGCGTGACAATTCCATAATACCCAAATTAAAAGTATCAAAATATAAGAATAATATAATAATAATAATAATTGAAAATCTCACCTGTATAAGGTAAAAGAAATAAGTCCAAAACGTCAAAGAAAATTCGTATGTCTTCACTCGATCACGAGAAAGGTTGAATTGAGAAGTGAATAATTTTGCTTTGCTTTTAGTAGCTAAAATTTGGCCTTGACTTAATGTTTCTTACGTAGGTAAAAGCACCGGAATTTCCTTCTCCGCCAAGTCCCACCTTAATCTGCCACAATCCAATCTAACTATTTCCTACTTTTATCTTATCACTATAATTCAGGCTTGACATAAAAAACCATATTTCCCTAGGAAATATTTTTATTTTCTTACAATTGCTAAGATAATTGAGTATACTCATTCATAAAATGATTTTTCTTAGTATACTAAGAAAAATCATTTTATGAAATAAATTTTGAGGCTCATGCACCCATGATATTTTCGAGTTAAATTACTTTAAAGCTAAAATATCCGCCTTCTTGAAACGTCATTGCTGCCATAGCAACGGCAGTTGTTTAACTTTTGGGAAAAAATTCAAATCCTTTAGATGCTGTTTTACATCAGTGAGAAGATACTTGTTGTTTTTAAAAAAATATACAAATCTAAATAGCAAGTTTTCTATCTTTTTCAAAGCTATGTCGATGTGCAATGTGCAAAAAATTATTATGAATGCGATAAACTTCAATATGGAAATGAGGCTCGCAAGTGACATCTGCACTCATGAAACACATGCATGCAGGTGTTTAAAAATATTATTGTGCATCAAGTAATTTTAGTCATGACTATTAGGAAACTTTTTACTCGCCTGTAATGGGACCAAACTTTATTCCAAAAATTTTATATTTCACATCAATGTTGTCTTCTAAAAATACTTCAGCTAATATTTTGATATGAGCGTAATGACCTTTTAAGCATACTGTCGCTACACAACGACTAATAACCTTTGGCTATTTTGTTAATTAAGTGCATTGTCTAATTATGCTAGCGTTTTTCCTAGTTTTCCAAAAACTTATACTCGCCGGGCTCTTTTTCCGTCATGGAAGCAATATAAACGGCTTGTAATAATTAAAGTGTCCCTGTCACAAAATGAGAGTTTATATTTTCGAAATCTATGATACAAAATATACGGAAATTCGAAAACGGAATTGAAATTGCTTTTTTAGTGTAAAAGTTATTGCCGTTTAAACATTGAATTTGGCCTTGTGAAAAATCTGAAAACCGCGCAAAAGGGACTGGGACGAAACAATGCGTGTGACGTAATAGTAGGAACTTATGTAGCTCACTAATATAGAAATACTATTGCATGTACTATCATAGAGGAGGCAATAGCGCAAATAAAAGTCACGAAACTGAAAAATTGCCGAATATATGTGTAGTAGGCGGTTGTTCTAATGTCACAGATACAGAGTAAGGCATTTCACTTCATTTTATACCTTTTACTGGAGGCGAGATGCACGAAGCGAAAAGGACACGGATTGACTTCGTGCACCTTAAACCAGCAATATGAGATCCAATGTTCAGCATACTTTGCGAAGATAGAGCTTGCTGGTAAAACCACGGTTAGCTATTGACGAAATTGGTTTCGTTGCAATTCCAAAATATACAAATACTGTCGACGACAAACCTTTGTCTGCGAGAGCCAAGAGAATGGTATATGTATAATTTATACTCTAATTTCGTTTATCATGCACTTGAATATGGCCTAGTGCAATTTTTATTCCAAATTCGTTATTTGAATAGGTTGTATTTAGAAGCTGCTTCGATGCAGTCAACCGATATGGTCATAGTCACGAAACTGGAAAGCGCGATAAATATAAATGAGCCACAGCCAATGGATTCACCAGAAATATAAAATATCGCGACAATATAGCTATGACTATGAGTGAATATGGTCAAAATATAGCTGATGAAAGCCAATTTCTTACGTCTACAAGCAATGTGCACTGTTTGTATTTTAGTTTAGACAGGGAAAGTAGAATTGTACGTATAAGTAAACTTGACGCAGTAAATTATACATATATACACTCGTTGTGTTTGCACCGCAGTGAAAACCCGTACAATATGCAGATTTTGTAACAAATTTTGGCATGAAACCAGATACACTGCGGGGGTGTATATAAAATGTATTACAAAGTATAATCCATTGAAGCAACTTAATGAAATAACTTAGTCATTGCCACATTTGCTATAGTATAAGGCAGTGCCTGGAACGAAATACAAGTCAGAAAAATTCCTAAACGTGCTGCAACACTTTGTACAAATTAACCCGCGCGCACGAAGTGCAGAAAAACATCAGATACAAATCTTAATCTCAAATTTCAGTCTCTTTGGCAAAACAATATTGAAGTCATGAATATAGCAAATGTGCTGTTTCTATACGCAATACAGTATAATTTTACCACATTTATACAGTGTAATAGGTTTATTTATTGAAAAATAGTTATATAATATCAAGAGCTGTTCTCTACAAATCCTACAAAGTCTTCATCAACAGCAGGCATTATTTTCTCATATGCGCAAAAATGTCTATTTCCTAGTTGTCCATAAACCATCCACACAAAGTTTCTATATGCTGTGCTCCTTCAGAATCTATAAATTAATAAATAAGTATTTTTAATAAGTCGCTTACTTGCATGTGAACACATGTAAATATATAATAATTCAATAATTGTACAGTATGTTTCGCATATAAACTCTCAGTTACCGTACCGCATGCGTGTGTTCACTGATAGTAAACTCGGGTACGGTAAAGTGTTTCTTAATTTCAATATGTTGATAAATAAAACTTTATTTACCTATCTTCTGTGCTTGTTTGACGGTATTCCTGTTTCTTTCTTGCTCGTAATTTCGTGGCTGCTGAACGGAGAGCTCACGTATCTAGCCATAGCTGTTGAATTATACATGATGGCGCGACTTCAGCTTCTTGCATCACAAATCACAATGTCATTGTGTAGAGAATCGACGCACTCCTCAATTTCCATACAACATTGACACTCTTTAGCATAATTTACGAAGCAGTTCAATGCGACAATTGCCACGTTTACACATGAAATATTATAGTTTGTAATTTGACAACACAAGGTCAAGTCACGCAACAAAATCAGAGTGAAATATTTACCATTTACTCAATTCTTCTGAACTATCAAGCCTTTGTTGTAATTGCTTAAGACGTTCGTTGTGATTGCTTTTTTTCGCGGTAACGTTTGAGCCATCTTCGTCGGTCACTGCATGGTTCATTAACATATGGATCAAGCAGCGCCGATCATTTGTGCGCACGACGTTGACCACGCTTCACTGGTGTTTTCATCGATTTCACTCGATTTGATACGGCCCAGGAATATAATTTCAGGCAGTCATCGCTTTGGTAACTGTTATTTTCCGTATCTGAACTCCACGAAGACATTTGTATCGAATTTTGACCAGCTTGATTGTGATTCTCACTTAGTATTTATATACTTTTCACTTAGGCGAGAAGGCAATGTCTTCCTACTATGACGTATTAGTTACCAATTTCCCAGCTTCGCGGTTTTCAAAAACTTTTGCCGTTAAAATTTGAAATTTTCAAATTTCATTGCCTTATTACTCTGTGAAAACAAGCTCAATTTTAAATCTGTTTTGTATTTTCATAATCTACGTTTCAAGACGATTCTAATGATGTAAACTCTCATTTTGTGACAGGGGCACTTTAAGATTTTTGAGCAGTATACTGCATAGGATAGGACAGGATAAAACTTTATTTGACTACGCTGGCCACTTCAACCATGGCTGCTTTCCAAGTGGGGCGTAGATAAATGTTACAAAAATATATAAAATACAAAATCACTAAGAATATTAAGAACTACGAATACAAATACATATTACAAAACAAATGGTATACAAAACTCAAATAGCTAATTCGTCAGACTAACAGAGGAAATATTTCTATTGAAAGAATTTAAAGATTCGCTGTTTCTTACTTGTTCAGGAATGCTATTCCAGATTTTAACCTCACTATATCGAAAACATTTTCTGCCATACTCGGTATTTGGTCGTGGCAGAAAGAGAGACGAATTTGAACCTCGTAAATTATAACTGTGGATATGGTTAGAATTCTGGAACATTGATGAGAACCTCGATGGTGCCAAATTATTGACAACCTTAAACATGAGACGGGCCATATTATGTTTTCGCCTTTCTTTTAAGCTTATCCACCCTAATTGATCGAGGGCCAGTTGAGATTGCCCAGGCTCATCTTTAAAGTTCATTATAATTCTAGCACATCTGTTGTGAAGTTTTTGTAGTCGTTCAGACTGGCCTCTATTAATGGAATTCCAAACTTCACAACAGTATAGTCGAAATGGGGTTGGACAAGACCATAATAGACCGACTTCAAAGTATCAGAATTAGTGAAATCCTTTCATGGCACTTATTCCAGAAGATATTTTTTTTAGAAATTTGGTCAATATGACTGTCCCAAGTTAAAAATTGATCAATTTTGACTCCAAGAGTTTTTGTAACTTGAACCCCTTTAATTGGTTCATCTCCAATAAAAACACGCGGCTGTTCTTCTAACGTGTTAATATTGTGGCGTGATCCAATCAAAAGATATTCCGTTTTGACAAGGTTAAGAGAGAGCCTGTTCGATAGAAGCCATTCTCTGATATTATTGAGATCGAAATTAACGGCCACCTCAGCTTCCTTAATTGATTTACCGGACACTGTAATGTTAGTATCGTCGGCGAACATGCGTGCTGTAGAGTGTTGTAAACAATTCGGCAAATCATTGATATAAATTAAAAACAGAAGTGGACCCAAAATTGAACCCTGAGGAACGCCATATTTAGATATTTTAGTGTGGAAAGTTCCCCATTTACTTGACATTTCTGAGATCGATCTGATAAGTACGATTTGAGAAGCATAAGAGGTGTGTTCTTAATACCATATAACTCTAGTTTAGCCAGTAAAATGTCGTGGTTTACCGTGTCAAATGCTTTTTTTAAATCGAGAAAAACGGCAAGATTATGCAAACCACGATCCATATTAATATACCACTCATCAGTACAATCAAGCAAAGCAGTGGACGTGGAATGAAAGCGCCTGAACCCAAACTGCTGTTCAGACAATAAATTATTGGTGGTAAAATATTCGTATAACTGCTCATACAAGATCTTTTCAAATATTTTGCTGATGACCGGCAAAATTGATATTGGCCTATAATTGTCTAAAACGGAGCGTAAACCCTTCTTATGAAGCGGTATAACACTAGCAATTTTCCATTCAGAGGGGAAAATTCCCATGCATGGATTGAATACAACAATTTCTCTTCGATACATGATGCGTATAGTTAACTTATTCGGAGAAGAAAAATGTGCGTGCATAATTTAGCATATATATAAGTTGTTGCGACTATAGTGCGTGTATTGTAATTATGCACACGTAACACGTTTTTGGAATAACTGTAATTTCATATTAACTAAAACTGTCACTGAGCCGGTAGAAGCCGAGACCGTTATTGGTGTTTAAAATTTTAGGTTTGCGTAAAATGTGTTCCAAAAGACTATAGATCTTCTGTCCGTGAACAGGTGAAACTTTGACAAACAATTTAATTATTAAAGCGATACTTTGCCACAATTCATGCAATTAAGACGCAAATGAACATGGACACGTTAAGTGCTTGTCGGTTTTGTAATGTAAACATTCTCTTTAATGAGGGCCCTGAAGGGGTAAAATGGGAACTGGGATTGATCTATTTTTAGACTGGGAAAATGGGATTTGGGTTGCTGGGACTGGGATTTGGCCACTGGGAATGGGAAACGAAGTCCTCAAAAATGGGAATGGGATTGAGGTAATGCGAGTCGATTCCCAATTTTTCCGCGTTTTGAGTATTTTAAAATACAATTTTGATCCGTTTTTGGTGTCTTTGGTCATGATTTTTGTTGTTAACTATATTATTCACAGCACTACCTGCAAACAGGCATACTCTGGCGCCCGGAATTTTGGGTTTTCTGATTATGCGTGTCTCAGAATGCTGCAAATGCCATTTCCGGGATTCAAATTTAAAAATTTTCCCCCCTAATATTTCATAAAGTGTCCGCCACATGCTTAAAAGGTCTTAAAACTGTTTATTCTACCGATAAATAAAGGTTTTCTATTGACTGGGATTTCAATAACTGGGATTGGGATTTCTAATACTGGGACTGGGATTTTGCCAAAATTTCAGGTGGGAAATGGGATTGGGACCCCCCCCCCTTCAGGACCTCTTTAATGAACTTATAATTGCATGGGCATCACGTACCCTGCCATAGCGCGTTGCAGGTATATAACGTCCTAGCCTTCTCCATTTGCCACTTAGTTCAGTTTAGCTGTCAACGCGCAGAAAACAACCAAAAAATTGATCAACCTGTTCTCTCATAACAACAAAATGAAACGCTTTCTTCGAACAGCGCTCATGTCTGTACGATTTCTGTTCCTGATCTTGTTGCCACATACAGTTACAATGGAACAAGGATACTGTATGCCTATGGATCACACGAGCGTGGCGATTCCTTTTCGCTCGCTGTATGGAGGTAAGTTTAATTTATAGGGAAGCCCTCATTCTTGCTTCTAATTCATACAGAGTTATGTATTGTGTTTTTTTCTAATGATTCCCTGTCATTTCTGCAACAATATATAGTTATCCGCATGTAAAGTTTTTCTTTGCCTGATAAATATTCTTTTCGTTGTAGATGTTTGTCCTTTGATAAAAGATATTCTCTCTGAAGCGACGTATGATTTCCAGAATCATTGTGGCATGAATTGTTTGCAAAATCCATTCTGTGCTGGATACAATTTTAAGAAAAAGCACCAGAAGAAGACTCCAAACTGCCAGTTAACACACACGCTGGATCACAACTTTCATGATTGCAATGCTGATGACAAAGGCTGGGTATTTTATCATCCCGTTGCTCCGGCCAAGAAAGGTACGAAACTGGAGTAAAATATATACTTAATAAACTTTGCCTGAATTACCTTATTAATATCTAGTATAAGCAATACCTAGCTAGCAATGCCCCGAGTCTTAAAATACGCGGAATTAGTTTATTTGTACCCAAGCAGTTGGTGAAAAGAATGCATGAGAATTTTGCGATCTTCACAAATTTTCCTATTAGCTATACCTTATTGCTATACAGCTATAGGCCAATTAGGTGCCACCAAACGGGCAATGTATTCCCCCGGGCAACAAGTAAAAAATTATTACAAATCGTTGCCCGGGCCTGAACTGGCTACGTGTATGTAACTAAACAAAATTTGGGTAGAACTCGCAAGTTTATTAACTGGGACTGTTTCCGATCCAAGTTTGTGCTAAAATAAAGAATGCATAAAAGACAAGAAAAATACACAACAGGCAACAGAATATGCTGCATGCATGCTGAAACCGTTTAAGTAAAGTAGGTTAGTTTAATTTCAGAACTCCTTTACCTTATAGAGTTTTAATTTGTCATGAAATGCAATAATTTATTGCTGTATAAATATATTATGTTGCTGATTTTACTTTCGTCGCTATATAGCAAGACGACGTATATAGGCGCGTTGTACATGTGCTTGATCAACACAGTATATATACAACTAAAGTTGCAACCAGGTTGCATGCGACAGTTTTATATAGGCAAAAGTTGTGTAGTGTAAAAAACCAGCCTATAGAATGGTTTAGAGTCCAATTTGGATTCATCCTTTGGACTCGATTATATTTATGAGAAAATTGTAAATTTTTTTTTGAGAAAATTGTATACTACAGTTGATGCGCTATTGCATCTTTTTACTCTATAGAGTATAGTTCCAAAAATTAAATATTTTTAATAAAAAAGTTAGCTATATATTTAAGGACATCCACTGCGGTATAAATTATATCATTTAAAAATCGCTCTCATTTAAAAATACCGGACCAATAATTATTATAGTTAATTAAAACTTAATTTGTGATGTTATTCTGTTATTTCAGGTTTGGCCTGTTTTATACGTCGAATTTTGGTCGCGTCGAATGCATTTAAGACAATAGATAATGAGATGATAAACCTCATTAAGCTTCATTATCTATACCCTGGATTCCAGAGCCTTCGACAGTAAATAATAAATTGAAATGTCGCGAAGGCTCTGGTTCAACGGGGCGATTGTTTGATTAAACCGCGCCAATCACAAAACAGAATTAGTGGTTTTAGTACAGAATCTGTGCTAAAACCACTAATTCTGTTTTGTGATTGGCGCGATTTAATCAAAGAATCGCCCCGTTGAACCAGAGCCTTCGCGACATTTCAACTTATTATTTACTGTCGAAGGCTCTAGAATCCAGGGTACATTATCTATTGTTTGAATTGCATTCGACGCGACCGAAATTCTAACATATTCGCTTCGCAGGTTCCATGTCATAAAATGAAGAATTGTAAAAATGGGGGAAAGACGATCATTTATCTCAAAGATGGACCTGGTTCTGATCCTTACAGATGTGAGTGTCCAAAGGGATACGGTGGAGATCTCTGTCAAACTGATGAGTTGTTAAAGAAAAAGATTGCTGCGCAAGATAAAGATGAAATAAAATGAGAATGAAAAGTTGTTGCAACAAGAACTGATATCAAGACATGCTAAAAATTTTACGCATGTTCGCTCGGATGCTGCAATTTCAACATGAAACTGTCCATTGTATAATAATTTGTTGCCTGTATTAGTCCGCAGCTTCTAAGTAATTTATTATTTTGTTGGATTCTTTATCTATACGTATTAGATAGATAAGGGTATACGAATTTGAGTCCATAGTTTGGAAAAACACATGCACGAGCGAGATTTTTTAAAGACGATCAAAATTGCATGAATCTAAAGGATGCATGAAAACTTACGAGGCTCTTGCAACATTTTTGTTGCATTATTATAATCATCATATATAACGTATAAGATTAACTAGATGGACCGGAACCACATCAAGCACCAGTTGGAATATAATTTCATCATGTTTCTTATCTCATGTAGACTCCGCCATATTATCCGAAGAACCAGCTAACTTTCTCAAAAACCTAACTTCATGGACCGGAACCACATCAAGGACTAATTGGAATCTGTGTTGGCGTGCAACCAAGCATGGATGGGCAGCCAGTACCTTCCATGCAAACTGTGACTACAAGAAACCAACCGTGACCATAATAAAAGTTGGTAACTTCATCTTCGGTGGTTATGCTACGGAGTCTTGGGATGGTGAGATTTACAATAGTTTTTCCTATTAAATTTTCAACTGTTTGTAACAGGAAAAATACCAGATTCGTTGCTTGGAGATAGCTAGACGTACAGGGATGGCTGCATGCAGGTGCATGGAAGCATATAGATTATACTCTATAGGAGTAAATTCTATAATTAATATTTCCAGAAGCGTGGCGTTTTTGGTATATGTCAGTGCGGGCAGGAGTTTCAACAATAAATTTTCGGAATACATTTTCAAATGGTGCATGTCCAAATTATTGTGTGACAGTGCATGTGTATTTTAATTTACATGCTAGCTTCGTGTGATCGATCAAACAGAGAAAAGATGTTCATTGGCAGATCGTAATTCACTAGTGCTAGAGTGAAATGTATATGCAACGTCTTGATAAATATATAGCGACTCGATCTCTATATCATCATGCAGAGTTTGATAAAATATATAGCGGCTCACTGCATGGGCAACATTAATAATAAACAATCAACTATTCTTATTAAATAAGAACTCAACTCGTACAAACTGGCAGGTATTGTGATTCATATTTACTCCATTTTAGGACAGAAATTAGGTTGGTTGTATTGCCTGTTGTCTATTGTTTTCTCTTTTGCACTCTTCATTTTAAAAGCAAACTTGACAAATCGCTGTTTATAAACTTGCGAGTTGGCGTTTTTCACTTGTTGCCTATTGTCACGCGAAATGCCTGACATGCTAAATAAACGATTATCGCAGTTCTGCACATGCGCAATACATGAGCCGTCATGGTTGGTCAGGTACGTAGTTCACAGAGTTCAGAAATTTCGCTTGACACCGGCGGGATATACATTGCCTTTATAGTCCGATCCGTAGTAAAACCTATACTGGCCACAGTAATCTCAATGTTAATAGGCAATTCCAGCTTTTAATTTATGCGCGCAGGGGGTGACGGGAAGCAAGGTATCGTATTGCTGATTATGCTGAAAATTGTCAATAAAATTACCGAAACAACCAAAATATTTCAATATTTACAAGTATAAGTTATTACTCCATGTTTACACGGTCGCCATGCATTTTTATTTTTTCAGCATAATCAGCCATATGATTACCTTACATTCCCCCCCCCCCTGCACGCATAAACTAAAAGCTGGAATTGCCTATTTAATTCCAGCAATCATTAATAATTTTTAGTTGTTATTAGTGATGTATAGGGTTCTGTATAAAAGATCAAAACTTAACAAATTTCGAATATTAAGATTAATATTTACCCATTTACCAAAAGCATTGTTTGTGTGCTGAGCTGGTGTAAATTTATATAAATATTGGTAGGATTATTAGGCAATTCAATTCAAATTCAATTCAAAATTTTATTAACACTGTTTCATATCATTACATTTTTTTTTTAAAAAGTACAGGAAGAAAAATAAAGTATATTGTAGGAGTTAAAGATAATTAAATATATGAAATTTCAAACCAAAAAAGTAGTAGTGAGCGACAGCCAGAGGAGCAAAGCTTTCGAGCTGGTTGCCGTGGGCCGTTGTGCGAGAAAGTGCTTAGAAAAGCAATTTCGTGGCAACCCCCTGGAGAATAGATTTTCTGTTGTTAAATCCATAGTACCATAGATGCTCAATTACCACAAAAACTTCCCAAGCTTTGTATTCAATTACAACAAAAATGACTTGCATCATCAGAAAGCTTACAAAAATCCGCATATAAGACATTCAAACAGCTTTTTGATCCTTCAAATAGTCTTCGAGTTATTGCTGTTTTAAATGTGAAAATTGAACAAAATTGTCGCAATAAGGACTGGGTACTAGGTCAAAAAAGCGTTTTTGACAGCGTATAGCTCGAAAACAATTTGAGATATAAAAAAAAACTGTTTAAATGTCTCATATGTAGATTTTTGTAAGCTTTCTGATGATGTAAGTCATGTTTGCTGTAATACAAAATTTTACATTTTCTTGCTGCAATACAATTTAATAGAGGATAATCACTGATCACCCATTTTCTCGGTGTTTGGCAAGTTTTTTGCTTGGGAACTTTTGGTGGTAATCGAGCATCTATGTTACTATGCATTGAACCACAGAAAATATATTCCCCACGGGGTTGCCACGAAGCGAAATAATTTTAGCCAACGGCCCATCAATCTGGGACATATTGAATTTAGGATCTATTGTATACGTATAGACCGAACAGTAAGTATTTTTAGAGAATCGTGAAACTTCTCGTATTTTCAGTGAACGGATATTTAAGTATTTCTCGTGAAGTGTGAAATCCTTTATTTATTTTACGTGAAACGAGATTTAAAGACCAAGTATCCCGTGAAAGGTGATTAGAAAATTTAAGAGAGACCATTTCATTAAAGTCGTTTTGATCATATAGAAAAAGTCGAAAATTAGCAAACTAATGGACATTTCTTGATCTTACTCCCACTGAAATACATAAACTGTACAATACTTATACGCCGTCGGTTTAGTGGGTATAAGCGAAAGAAACATTTCAGCAACAGCGTCTTACTAATTTTCCGTGAAACGTTTTTCTTCATGAATCGTGAAATTATGGATTCATTTTCCGCGAAACGTAATCAGCACTCTCCTTTTACCGCACTTATAAGTGGTTGTGATAAATTATTTAAATGAAAGCCCTAGATAAAGCCTGCCGCACATAAGAGCTTTTGGCTGAGCTAAACTGCCACGCGTGGCAATACACGGTTTTTGCTGCGGGTTTTGACGCGCGAGACGGTGAGGAAAAATTCTATCGTGTTTGATTATTTTGTCACACGTGAGGCAAGGATCGCACCGTGTGCGGACGTTGTGAGTTATAAGCTCAGCTGTGAATATTAGCAGCCAATAAAAACACATATCTTTCTCATGTGGTACGTGACATTTACCGCTATTTTGAAATTTAGAGCGAAATAGAATATTAGCTTAGCACTTTAATTTATGATTGCGACAAACATATAGAGATGAGCTTATACCGGGATATGTGAAGGCTAGCTCAGCCAAATTCTCTCGTGTGCGGCAGGCTTAAACGCAACATATGCATGAACACTTGAAATTTTTCAAATTCGTCCGCGGCTGCAACACTACTGTGCCGATACTCAATATAAATCTGATTAAATATGTCAAAACATTATTTTTATGTTATAACAGGTAACGGCTACAAACAAGCTACAGGACCCTTCATATTCTCTCTTCGGAACAAAGAAAATCTCCCGCCTTTTAAAGCCCCACTGAAAGATCAAAATACTCAGTACGCAATTAGCACAACAAATAATTATAGACCAACATATGGAGTAGGTTCAGTGATATATATACATATCTAACAATGCTGCTTCGAATACCTACACACTCACACACGTATCAATACCAGATATCAAGATCATTTTCAATATAAATTACTTCAAGACTGTACCATATCTAATCCTGACGTAATTGAGTCTATGTTCGTTGAAATTCCTAACCCACACGGAAAAAATATCATTGTGGGTACAGTTTATCGGCCACCTAACCAAAACCTCGATTCGTTTATGCATGAATTTAATAAAATTCTTTCAACCATTTCTAAAGATAATAAACAGTGTTATCTCATGGGTGACTTTAACCTTGATCTAC